CCTTCCCAGTACTAACCTAGTACAGTCAGGTAACTCTATAATTGCCCTTAATGCTATGGTGACTAATGATGATGTTTAGATTGTAGATTCTGGAGCCTCAGACCACATGACTAGTAACCAGTCCCTGTTTAAAACTCTTAAATACTATTCAGAAAATCTAAAAGTGGCTAATGGTATATCTACTCGTGTATGTGGACTTGGGAATGTTGAATTAACCAAACATATCACTATACATAATACACCATATGTACCTGAACTCACCTGCAACCTATTTTCTATCAGTAAACTAACTAAAGGACAGTAATGCCATGTCCTATCTAATGAATTAGAGTGCATATTTCAGGATACAGCCTCTGGGAAGACGATTGGTAGAGCTAAAGAGTGGGATGGACTCTATTACCTCAACATGAACAATAAGGAAACAAGACAGAAGCAAGCCATGGTTAGCCACCACACTCAAAACAAAGATATATTACTGTGGCATCATAGGTTGGGTTGGGCCACCCTAGCTTCAGCTACATGAAACACTTGTTTCCATAGTTTTTGAATAAAGATGTTTTAAATTCTCTAAGCTGTGACACTTGTCAATTTGCCAAATAAACAAGGGCTACCTATTCCAAACAACTTTACAAACCTACTGCCCCTTTTACTCTCATACATAGTGATATTTGGGGTCCTACAAAACCGAAAAATCTTTCTAATGTAAGGTGGTTTGTCACCTTTATTGATGACCATACCTGAATGACTTGGCTTTTCCTTTTAAAAGAAAAATCTGAAGTTTTTGAAACTTTCAAGAAATTTTTCATCTTTGTGCAAAATCAATTTCAAACCACAATTAAAGTATTAAGAAGTGATAATGCAAAGAATATATGAGTGGACTTTCAAAATTTTTCTTGAACAATAGGGGATACATCATCAAACGTCTTGTATTTATACTCCCCAACAAAATAGGGTAGTTGAACGGAAAAATAAGCATTTATTGGAAGTAACTTGGGTCATTATAATTGAAAAGAATGTTCCTAATTTTTATTGGGGGGATGCAGTATTAACCGCAACATATCTCATAAATAGAGTACCCTTTAAGGTTCTAAATTTCAAATCTCCAATTTAGAAATTGCTTGAACACTACTCCAATTCCCCTTTAATCAACACTTTACCTCCCAAAGTCTTTGGATGTGTTGTCTTTGTTTATAAGAACACAGGAAAACTTGAATCAAGAGCTAAAAAATGTATTTTCTTGGGGTACTCACCAACTCAAAAAGGTTACAAATGCTACTCTCCCATCACTAAAACTATTCACATGACCAAGAATGCAGCATTTTATGAAGAAGACGCCTACTACCCCAAATTACTCATTCAGAGGGAGAATTATGGAACTGTCGAATGGCTAATTCAGGAACCCATGGACACCCACACTCATCACACAGACGAAATAGAAGCAGAAATAACTCACATATTGCCAGAACCTATAGTTACCTTGCCTACAAGTAGAAATATAGAAAACACAGCAATTGGAATCATTGAAAACAGTCCTGAACCCATAGAACACCCACATGAAACGATACTACACATCCTTGAAGCAACACAGAGAGAATCTGAACATTCAAACAGCAAAAGAAGATCAAGAAACAGATCTGAAACACCTCCAAACAGAACCAACACAACTCAAATCACCTAGAAAATTTTGGAAATCAAGAAACTAATAATTCCAATACCCATAACAGTCCCGAAGAAGAAGATCCTCCGACTCTAAGGCAAAACCAAGAGTCCCACACGAATCTAGACCCTAAAGATTTGGGATGGCCAATAGCTCTAAGAAAGGGAGTTAGATGTTGAACTCAACATCTGATTCAGAAATTTGTCTCAAAAATTTGTTGTTAACAGTGCACAAATGAAGATACCAGACGCCTTCCAACAAGCCATGACAAATACCAATTGGAAAAAGGCTATGGAAAAAGAACTCAAGGCTTTAAGGGAGAATAGAACGTGGGACATCACAACTTTACCTCCTGGAAAGAAGGTGGTAGGCTGCAAGTGGGTCTTCCCCCTAAAATTCAACCCTGATGGCAGCCTAAATAAGTATAAGGCAAAACTCATCGCAAAGGGGTACACTCAGACATATGGGATTGACTATGAAGAAACTTTTGCACCAGTAGCCAAATTCAACCCTATCAAGGCTCTACTGTCCATAGTAGCCAACTTTGACTGGCCACTACATCAACTAGACATAAAGAATGCCTTCCTTAATAGGGACTTGGAGGAGGAAGTCTAGGTATAAGAGAAACTGAAAATGTTACTAAGGTGTGCAAACTCAGAAAATCACTTTATGGCCTAAAGCAATCACCCGGGGCCTGGTTTGACAGATTTGCAAAGGTCCTAAAACGACTAGGGTACCTCTGAGGGCAAGCTGACCGAACATTGTTCGTGAAACATAACAATGGGACGACCACCGTGCTCATTGTTTATGTTGATGACAACATAATCACAAGAAACAACAAAAAGTCAATTGAGTTACTAAAAGCAGCATTGGCTACTGAATTCCAAGTTAAAGATCTTGGTCAAATGAGGTACTTCCTAGGCATAGAGATAGCACGGACCAAGAAAGGGATCAATGTGTCTCAACGAAAATACACCTTGAACTTCTCCAAGAAGCAGGGATGCTAGGATGCAAGCCTAGAGAAATACCTATGGAGACCACATGTAACCTAGAAATCATACCTAAAGGTATTCCAGTGAACTCTGAAAGATACAGGAAGCTAGTAGGGAAACTGATTTATCTTACACACACCCTGACAGTAGTTATGCAGTGGGAGTGGTGAGCCAGTTCATGCATCAACCCCAAGAAGAACATAGAGACCATACTCAACATTTTAGGCTACCTAAAGCTTAACCTTGGGAAGGGCATTTTCTTTGAGAAAAACAGAAACAGAGGTATAGAAATATGCACTGATGCTGATCATGGAAGAGCAGTGGAACACTAAAGATCCACTACAGGATACTGCACATATGTATAGGGAAATTTGGTAACATGGAGAAGCAAAAAGCAGTCCGCTGTGTCCAGAAGTAATGCTGAATCTGAACTTAGGGCTGTTGCCCCAGGAGTATGCAAGGGTATTTGGATTACAAGACTCCTTAAGGAACTCGAAATATCTTACCTATGGTGTGACAACAAGGCCACCATCGAGATGACAAAGAATCTAGTTTACCATGATAGAAACAAACATGCGGAAATAGACAAACATTTCATCAAGGAAAAGGTCAAAGCAGGGATTATAAATCTTTCCTACATACGGTCCTCTCACCAAATCGTAGATATAATGACTAAACCACTAGCAAGAGTACAATTTGAAGGGCTAAGAAGCAAGCTAGGAATGCTTGACATCTATTCTCCAGCTTGAGGGGGAGTGTCAGAATCAAATCGAATCAAATCTAGCTGTTAGAATCAGATCCCCAGTTACTTGCTGTTTCTATTTTTAATCCCTAGAACCTCGGTCCCATATCAATGGGATTCCTCTCCCTTAATTTTCATTTAATGTGATGAGATTTCCAAATATATTGTAAGGAAATCTGATCCTATTTATGTACTACTCTCCTATTGGAATCATCAATCAATTACATCCAAATTATTCACAACAATAAGCATAGAATGAAATATGTTGAAATTGATCGGGAGAAGATTGAAAGCGGATGTGTTCCATCAGAAAGCAAGTTGCTAATGTTCTCACCAGTGGAAGAGAACCTTGATGTGTATAAGCAAGTTGAACGTGATCAATATCTATGATCCAACTTGAAAAGGGGTGTGGAAATATCTTATTTTAATGTACAGTTTATTGCCATTTATTAGGCCTCTTAATTAGCTTTTACTCCTTTGCCTTTGGCCCTTGCATATATATATGATGTACTTTATCATTCATAATCAGTGAAAATATTTCCTCCCGAATAACAGAGGGCTATCAACAACATATCAAGCCCATGATGCAAAGGGAACGATTACTATGAAGCTGCTAGGTCATTTCGTCTTCGGTTTGGTGCAATGGAACAGAAAGAAAGAATTAACATTTTGGAGTAGAGAAAGCTTGACGTCTCAAAAGTCAAGCCAAGGTAACTCTTTCCATTTTCTTGTCATTTCTCTGTCATTTTCCAGCTAAAGTAACCGAGGGAATTGGTCATATTTTTTATTTTCCTCTTCCATTTCCCATAGAAGAGGTTGTAACTAATTTCTAAACCAGTTACAACAAACTGTAAATGGCATGACTGATTCATGCTTTTCTGTTCTCTTTATTTTGTTCATTAGTCTCTAAGTCTGATGGCTTCTGGAAGTGTAATACGTGAATCCTAGACAAACCGATAACTCAAAATTCCAAAACGATTCATGTGTACACACAAACACCAAATACTAAATTGTAACATTCAAATTACTTGTTTAGACCAAAAGAAATTATGAACGGACTTCCATAATTTCATCTACAGAAGGTTTTTTTCACTATCATCTAACCTTTCTTTTAAATATTTTGTTTCCTTTATTACTTCATCAGTTGTCTTGCATGCATCTTCAAGTAGAAAAAACCAACAAAGTACTTCTACTAACACAAGAATATGTCATAAGCATGTTCAATATCCAATGATATTGTTGGACATTGTTCAACTTTAATTTTGTTTTTGTGTGTCCAAATCCTCACCCATTCATTTGAATGTAATAGAATTCTATTTTATATTACATAAGTGCAATAGAGGAGAGAATTCAAGTGTCACTTTGGTTCTGGCTTCATCAGGTTCTCTTATACTTTCACATTTGTTACTTTGGGTTTAGTACGATTACAGCATGACTCATACTTCTCTTCTACACCATGCAATTTTTTGAACAAGAACTTTAAAAAGCTTCTTAAAATGAGTTTGATGATGAAGAAAATATTATAACAATAATGGATAATTACAAAACATATCTTAAAAAAATTACAAAGTTGAAAGGTCAAAACAGAAATGCAAAGTAAGAAACCAACCTCAAAGCCAAAGCCCCTCCAATCACGATCAATATTAGCTAGCACTTCACCATTAATATCTTTCAAGGTAAATGTCCAATTCCAAAAGCCAGGATTCTCAACCACAGCAAATTGTTTACTCCTGCCATTTTTCCTTCTTTTTAGACTTGCATTTTACACAATAATCAGAAGCAGTGCAATTGTTGGATAAGACCAGGATTTAGTAACATTCAGTTACACTATTAACAGAAGCCTAACTCCTGAAAGCAACAACTAACTAATAAAAACAAACAATGAATTATTATTCCTAGCAACAAATGTTCAACATTCATTTGTGTTGTTTATTTTGAAAAAGTAACTATGATAGTCAAACAACAATCACAAAAAGAGTTAACATAAAATTTGTTGAAAGACACAAGCCCAAGCCTGCTTAGATGGGCTCACTAATTCGTGTTGCTCTATTATTATTGTTGTTGTTGTTATTGTTATTCTGATTTATTTTGTCATTTATGAATAAGGTCATATTTGATTTGTTAATATCTAATCATATCTTTCAAATTGTAGATTTATTGCTGACTTACCCCAATTAGCTGCCTATATGTATTCATTAATCTCATCAATAAATTTCGAAACCAAGTCATCAATAGCTTAGCCAACTTTACCAAAATTTTCCACTTTTGTTGGACTACTTCCGTGAACAGAAAAGGAATTATATTGAACACATGAACAAGAGCTACAACAGAGTAAATGGCTGGCCAACCTATGACCCAAGTAATCGATGTATATAATTGCAAAATTGGAACAAGAATATTTTGCAAAGCAAACAACAAACAATGCAAATAAAATTCTCAGAATGAAAAGTCAACTAAATGGCACAAATATAACTAGCGCAATTCAGAATAGTTAATATTACCCAAGGTACAAATCATAGACTCTCCTCCAAAGATGCCAACGCCTATGAACTACACCAATTTCCTGAAGAGAGAATTTGGTGCAACTTAATAGCAAAAATGCTGAAAAACTCTACCTAGCCTCAAAATAATGAAGCGAGTTTACATAAAATGACATACCTTACCATTAATTTCCGCATAAATTGAGCTTGTTATCCACCAAAAGGGTCTACGAACCTAGCAAGGGAGAATCAAAGCCTTAAGCTAAGGAAGTCATAATTAAAAGATAGATACTCTAATATTTCAAAAGCATCTAACAAAAAAAGTTTGCATGCATAAATAGAACCAAAACAAAATTGTGTAGAGTCCTTACCTTAAAGAGCTCATTCCCCATAGCATCAATTATGTAGGCAACAAAAGGTCTCCTTGTACGAAGAAACTGCAGTAAGAAAAGTTTAACGATATGGAAAATTAGGCCTCCAAGAACCAAACATTTACGCGATCAAATGAGTATGAGCTACTTAAACAAAATCCAAGTCCATGTAAGGACCTTGATCATGGATTGCTAGTACTAAGGAAAAGTAACTGAAATGCTCCCACAGCTGAGATTCAAGGAAACAGTAAAATAATAGACTAAAAAACATTGAAGATATTAAAAAGAATAATAAGAAGATCCCAAAATCCATTAAGCCCATTAAATAGCTAAAAAATGAAACAATGCTAAAAAATGAAACAATTAGATTGAAACACTTTTAATTGTGGATCATATTTCAAAACCATTTTGCTTTTCAATCTGCTTCTCTCATTGCCCCTCTTTGTTCAATCATCACCACCTTTGGGGCCAAAGATTTTATTTTCTCACAATATAGCTTGATGTGTGTCTCAAGTGAGATGGAAAGATAATCATATATATATGGTTTTAACACCCAATACTAACTTTGACGTCAGTTGTCACTCTACAGTGGAAACTCAGCAATGTTTTGCCCACAAAATTTGGACAAGCTTCTGCCAAGTTATCACAAAAATGTAAGGTGTCCACGAAATTTTTGTAAAAAACATACTTCTATGCTCATGTACGTTTAACTCATGATGGTGTCCTACTAGTAACATACTGACATTTATTAAGTTAATTCTAAGAGTTTCAAGGTCACATGACAGTTGTGCAGTCTCCATATTTCTTACAATTGAGTGAATATTGTATCATGCACATGCAGTATTTGTGTGTATTCTGTTATTAATGCTATGCATAAGCTAATTAGAGAACAAAGTGTAAATGCATGTATTATACATCCTTGTGGCTGGGTAATGAAATGATGTGGATTAACCTCACCATCTTTGTTCTTCTCAAATTCTCTCTTTCCCCAGTTGCTAACAAAGCTATTGTCTGTTAACACTCATAGCCTTTCAACACAATTAGTCATCCATCCAAAACACTCCACCAGCTTTGAACCCAACACCCCACCAGCTTCAAACAAACAAAACCCAGATACTCTACCAGTGTTGAAGCCACCAACTGAGCTGCCTTATATTCAATCACTACTGGAAGAGATGCATGCGAAGCTCAAAAGAACACCAACTGTTTGGTGTGATAATGATGGACAGCTACATTAGTTGCTAATCCAATGTTGCATGCAAGAACCAGGCACATAGAACTGGGTGTCCATATTATATCAGAGATCAGAGGATTGGCTAAGCAATTGGCTATTCAATTCTTCCATCATTAGAACATAAAACAGACACTTTCATTAAAACCTCTATGACGTGCTGGGTTCTAGTCTCTACGAGGCAAGCGAGGAGCATGTGAAACAGCTCCTAGTTTTAGGGGGCAAGTTAAGACTCAAAGTTAGGGAGCAAGCATGCCAGATGTTTGGTGTCCATATTTCTTTCTACTCTGCAAATTCTGCATCACACAAGTGAAATGTTTGTGTGTATTCTATAATTTATGCCACGTGTCAACTGATTTGGGAGAATATAGTGTAAATGTATTATATATTCCTCTGACTGTACCACATGACATGCATTCAATTCACCATCATTCTTCTCAAATTCTTTCCCAATAGATGGACCATTCAAGAGGTCTCTCCCACACTTGAATATCATCATCGGAACATTCATGTTCACGAAGAATACTTCTCATAACCTTCATTTTTAAGATAATTCCAAAAAATCATGCCATAGAATACCAAAAAGTTATTTTTGACCATGAAATAGGCAAACATTATAAAATGTTGCAGATTATAGTGTCTACAACATAATGATTTTATCAACTATGCAAATGTTGAACCCCGACCTTGAGGATGATAAATGTTCCTCCACATACCCAAAAAAAAAAAAAGAGAAAAGAAAAGGGGAAAAAACGAATGCAGAGTACTAGAAAATTAAATAGACTACCTGTCTTGCAATGACATTGCTTTGTTCTCGAATAAAACCGACAGGCTACATCACAACAAACAAAAGGATACAATTTCATACTTCATTATGATGAGTCAGGCAATGGAAAATTACTGATAGAAGGTACAATTATGAGATAGGAAGTGGAATGATAACTTACTGATTGAGGATAGCACACATCAACAATTGCATACCGATTTTCCTTCAATCCAACCAATCAAGATTTCAAAACAAGACATCAAGCTGTAAGCTATTGCCAAAAGAAATGAAACTATACAAAGAACAGAAATAAAATATGAGAGATGACTGCAGCAAAAAACAATTCACAGCCAGAACAAACAATGTACCCAATGTACCAATAAGGGAACCTATAATAGTCAAATTCAAACCATTATATATAGTTAATTTTTTGAAAGGGGAAGAGGAAAGGGGATTTGCATGTCCGTCAAGGAGATGCCTTTAACAAGTGAGGTCATCTCTCAAAAGTCCAAGCATTTTGACATCCAAATATATCAGACAACATACATAAAGCCTTGCTACAACAAAACTTAACCCTTTTTATCAGTATAGAAACCCCTAAATTCAATCAAAACTTACACCCAAGTTTATTATACATCAATCGTGCCCTTGAATTTTTGAGCGATCCCCCCCTAAAAAAAAAAAAAAATTAGCAGGTTTTGGTAGGAATATGGATGGCAAGGTTTTGTTAGATTGTGGAATTCTTTGGTGTATTTGGTTAGACAAAAATAAACTATGAGAGATGACTGCAACAAAAAATATTGTTACAAGTATCTTTTTCAAGATATAACCGCAATTTTATTCAGGCAGCCTTGAAAAGAAAGCAAAATGTAAATGTGGAACAAGTTAATATAGAACATAGTTTAATAAATAAATTACTTAAGTTAGAATAGGAACAACACAGAGATGTCAAAAATGGGCCCTAGGGAGAGGCCCACTCATCCTATTAAACCTAGAATCAATTACAGTTATGTATACTGATTTACTAACCGTTAAAGACCTAATCCTTAGGCGCTAAATTAGGGATTACAAAATATATTTATTTCCTATTTTACTTCCTCGTTAAATCTGGAGGATTTCATGCGATATGCTTAATCACTCCTCTCCCTATATGTATCGCTCAAATCTGTGGAATAATATACAGCTTTTCTGTACACAAACTCTCATGGTATCAGAGCGGTACCACTCATGTCCTTCAAAGAAGCTCTGACACAAAACTCCAGAGATTTTACTACCGAGGGTGAGTCCACCTCAGTGACAGCCACACCCCAAAATATGACTAAGTCAGAAGGGACTCGATCAACTGGTTCAGGCGCACCAAATGGACCTGGACCAGATTCCTTGTCCTAACTCATTATATCCAATCGCCTCAATGGCAACAACTACCTCCAATGGTCCAAAAATATTGTCATGTTTGTGCGTGAAAGAAACAAGGAAAAATACCTTACTTGAAACCCTCAGCCACCAAAAACTGAGGACCCACAGTAGGAAACATGGTGTGCAAAAAACAACACCGCAATGACATGGCTTGTTCATTCCATGCTTCTTGAAATTAGTAAAAACTACCGACTTGCTAGTTCTGCACGAGAAATATGGGAATCAACAAGGCGGACATACTCTGTTAAGGAAAATACAGCAGCTATTTTCCAACTTAAACGCATGCTCCGCAGCCTCACTCAGGAGGAGAAGTCTATCACCCAGTACTACAGTGCCCTGGTGCGACTGTGGCTGCAAATAGATCTCTATGAAGTACACAAATGGTCCTGCCATACAGATGAAGTCTACTTCAAGCAGGTAATAGACCGAGACCGATGTTATGATTTTCTCCTTGGCCTTAATGATTCTTTTGACGATATCAGGGGAAGAATAATGAGCATCAAGCCCCTTTCATCACTGGAAGATGCTTTCAATATGATTAAGAACGAAGAGAGCCGAAAAGCACTGGTTCAACAACCAAGGCTCGGCCATGGTGACCAGAAGCAACCAAGGTGGAGACACAAGGGGAAAGAAGTCCCTAAGGTGTGACCATTGCAACAAAAATGGCCACACTTGTGACACATGCTGGAAGATTCATGGCAAGCCAGCCAATTGGAAGCCACGACTTAAGGGAGAAGGTAAAGGACTTCTGGCTAGTAATACCCCCAATGAAAGTGAAATCCTGAAGCAAGAAGAGCTTGCAATACTGCGGAAAATCCTTGACAAATACTCCCATGAAAAACTAAGTGAGGATACCCAAACTGTTTCCTTGACTCATACAGGTATAGAACTTTTAACTGCACTAATCACAGTCACTAATTCAAAAAATATCTGGGTGGTCGATTTTGGAGCTACTAATCATATTTCTGGAATTAAAGAACTATTTTCTGTCTTTAGTTCACATTCACAGCATTCCCGTGTGCAAGTAGCAAACAATGAGTATGCAAAGGTCATGGGATCTGGCACTGTAATTCTATCTACTGATATCATTCTTCATGATGTACTTTATGTGCCTGATATACACTGCAATCTGCTATCAGTACAGTGCATAGCAGATAAATTAAACTACCTAGTTGGTTTTAACAAATCTCACTGTGTCTTTTAGGATTTAGTCTAGGGCAAGCTAATTGGCAAAGCTAAAGAATGTAATGGGCTGTACTACCTTGAAGGAAACATGAAAAACAAAACCCCCTAGCTACTGCTACTCTTGCTGTTCATGTGACTCCAAATAATGCTACTGTGTCCCGTGATGAAATAATGTTATGGCATTACCGCTTAGGTCATCCTAGCTTTGATTATATGAAAATCTTGTTTCCAAATGCCATGAATAAAATATCTCCTTCTCAAATTCAGTGTGACATCTGTCATTTTGCTAAACAGACAGGAAATTCCTATCCACCGAATCCCTATACTCCTACTGCTCCCTTCACACTCATTCATAGCGATGTTTGGGGAAACTCTAGAATCGAAACTACCTCCAAGGCCAAGCGGTTTGTCACCTTCAAAGATGACCATACATGCCTCACATGACTCTTTTTAATGAAAGACAAAACAGAAGTTTTTCCACTGTTTAGGCACTTTCACGCCTTTATTCAAACTCAATTTAATGTTTCCATAAAAGTTTTTCGAAGTGATAATGGAAAGGAGTATGTGAATACAAAATTTAAAGATTTTCTTATCAAAAAAGGGATTCATCATCAAACTTCTTGCATATATACACCACAACAAAATGGGATAGCTGAATGAAAGAATAGGCACCTCTTAGAAGTTGCTCGCTCACTTTTGATTGGGAGTAATGCTCCCAATACCTACTGGGGTGAGCAGTCCTCACTGCCACCTATTTAATCAATCGGCTGCCCTCTAAAGTACTAAAGTTTCAAACCCCAATTGATAAATTTTTAGAAAACTACCCCAATTCCTACCTTCTCAACCATCTTCCTAAAAGAGTTTTTGGCTGCACAGCTTGTGTTTAATGAAGATGGCGGCAAATTAGATACACGAGCTCTTAAATGTATTTTTCTAGGTTACTCTTCCTCCCAAAAAGGTTACAAGTGCTATTCTCCTACCACTGGATGTATCTATGTCACCATGAATGTTCAATTTGTGGAGTCACAACCCTTTTACCCCAAATTACCCATTCAGGGGGAGAGAGCTAATGAATGGCTAATTTGTCCTGAAAGTAGTAACCATACAAGTGACACAACCTGAAGAGCAAAGAAATCAAAACAGTAATGGTACCCTAGCATCACCTGAAGCCCCTATAGAGACACCTACATTTGAACCTGACCTTATTACACACTCCAGTGACCCTGCAACAACTGTCACAGCACTAGAAAAACCACCACACACCCTTGACATGGCACCCAACAGACCTGAAACAATGCTAGAATTGCCCAATAACACTGAACCTATACCTGAAGCCCCCCAAGAGACAAACCAGCAGTCACCTACCACAGAGACAGAGGTGAACACGACAGAACAGCCAACAACCAGAGAAGAACCCATTAACATTCCAAGGCAGAGTCATGAATCTTACCCTGAGACTAATCCTGAAGATCTACAGTGGCCCATTGCTTTGAGAAAAGGAAAAAGGAGTTGCACTAGGCACCCTATTGGAAGGTATGTCTCCTATGATAACCTTACCTCTCAATTTAAAGTGTTTGTGGTTAATCTTGATAATGAGGAAGTCCCAAAGTCTTTTAATGAGGCCAGTTCAAACCCCAACTGGAAAGCAGCCATTAATGATGAATTAAGGGCTCTAGTCAAAAACCAAACATGGGAAATAGTTAATTTACCCCCCGGGAAATCTGTTGTTGGGAGTAAATGGGTTTTTACAAAGAAGTTTAATCCTGATGGTAGCATAAACAAGTATAAGGCAAGATTAGTTGCAAAGGGGTTTACTCAAACCTCAAGAGACTTTTGCTCCGGTAGCCAAATTTAATACTATAAATATTCTTCTCTCTTTGGCTACCAATCTGGACTGGCCCTTACATCAATTAGACATTAAAAACGTCTTTTTAAATGGAGACTTAGAGGAGGAGGTATACATGGAAATACTGCTAGGATTAGAAGGTCCCGAAACCCGTGGAAAGGTATGTAAGCTTCACAAATCTTTATATGGGTTAAAACAATCACCAAAGGCTTGGTTTGAAAAATTCACAAGGGCTGTCAAAGAGTTTGGCTATAGGCAATGTCAAATTGACCACACTTTGTTTGTGAAACACTTTAATCATAAGATTACTGTCCTAATTGTCTATGTAGATGATATAGTCTTGATAGGAAACGACCCTGAAGAGATTGCAGCAATGAAGCAGAAATTGGCAACAAAATTTAAAGTAAAAGATTTAGGAAATCTAAGATACTTCCTCGGGTTAAAGGTAGCTAGATCTCCAAAGGGCATTTGCATGACCCAGAGGAAGTACACCTTGGATCTATTAAAAGAAACAAGCATGTTGGGAGCCAGACCTGCTGCAACCCTAATGGAGCTCAACTGTAACCTGGAAGTCAAACCTAATGGAAAATCAGTTAACAAGGAACAGTACTAGCGACTAGTGGGAAAGCTAATTTATTTGTCTCACACCAGGCCAGACATTTCATTTGCAGTAGAGGTGGTAAGTCAGTTTGCAAGCAACCCCTAAAAAGAACACATGGAAGCAGTACAAAGAATTCTCGGGTACTTAAAAACTACTCCTGGTAAAGGTATGTTTTTTGCTAAAAGCGAACACAAAAATGTAGAGATCTACACAGTGGCACCAAAAGAAACCCCAGCATAGAGGGAGACAAAGATATAGAAGTCTACACAGATGCGGATTGGGCAGGAGCTGTCTATGACCGACGTTCTACTACTGGATACTGTACATTTGTGTGGGGAAATGTTGTGACTTGGAGGAGCAAGAAGCAACGAGTTGCATCAAGAAGCTCACCTGAATCTAAATATGGAGCTCTAGCTCTTGGCATTTGTGAAGGGATATGGGTAGTACATGTGTTAAGGGAACTTGGTATAGAAATAAATGCACCAATTAAAATGTGGTGTGATAGTATGGCTGCACTCAAGATTGCAAACAATCCTGTCCAACATGACCGGACAAACATGCTGAAATTGACCATCATTTCATCAAGGAAAAGATTGAAGCTAAAGTGATCGACCTAACCTACATTCCCTCTGGAAAGATTGCAGATGTGATGACCAAACCATTGATCAAGAACAAGTTTGACGAGCTGACTAGCAAGCTGGGAATAATTAACATCTATTCTCCAACTTGAGGGGAGTGTTGGAAATGGGCCCTAGGGAGAGGCCCACTCATCCTATTATACCTAGAATCAATCACAGCTATGTATACTGATTTACTAACCATTAAAGACCTGATCCTTAGGCGCTAAATTAGGGATTACAGAATATATTTATTTCCTGTTTTACTTCCTCATTAAATCTGGAGGATTTCATGCGATATGCTGAATCACTCCTCTCACTATATGTATCGCTCAAATCTGTGGAATAATATACAGCTTTTCCGTACACAAACTCTTAAGAGATATTCATGAGGTTCCTCGACCTTGGATACTTTTACCACATTCCTTTGGTTTTTTCCCCCCTTTTTATAGTTATAAAAATTTTGAACTATGATTTTCCAGAGAGCATCAGAATCAACATGAGAAACTCTGGATTTACAGAAAAATATAAACATACCAAACCATCAAAGAATAGGTAAAAAAACACCTGTTCAAAGCCAAATGCAAGGTTTGCCCACTCAATATCTCTGGTGATAAGCAGGTTGGATCTAGCAAGCAGAGGTGCTACCTTGGCCTGAAAAGATGACCAGGCAAGTAGAACATCTCCGCGTTAGAAGTAACAGTAGCCTTTAAGAATTATTTGTAAAAAAATCAACATGAATCACAAAATGAATATAACAATTCCAAACGCCAAATAAAGTTTATAAAACTGTCACAGCAATCTTGTTAAGTAGATCACTATTCAGGATACACTACAGGCAGTTAATTCACCACCCAGCTCCAATCAATGATATAAAATTTTTCCCCAACAGCCACGTATATGTCTTTTTTCTTGAGTTTTAATGTGATTGCAAGCTGTTGATAATAGTAATCAGTAACTATCATCACTGATTTTACTAGTAATTAGCAATTGATAGATGCCACCGCATTGATGAGTGACAAAATTTGCTGGCATCTACAAAATAATGAACCTAAAGTTCTGAGTTCACCATAAATGCAGCCTACTTCGAGCCTTGGTATGAGGCATCAAATTCAGGACACTATTGTATTTAAGATAAAATAAGGTTTTCTTTTTTTCTTTTTTTGGTGGGGGGGGATTAAAAATATTTGAATATTCATTAGCTCCCGAAATGCAGCCCAATGCATCTTTAAATATTTTGAGATCAAAATGTAATTGTAAAACAAATTTAAATTTCAAAGATCAAATAGTGTATGGAAAAAAGAAGAGTTGAACCAATAACCTATATATAAACAATTATTGTTGGCTAGTTTCAGAAATTCAGTAGCACTTATAGAGATAATAAAAAGTAAGCAACTAAGGCCCCTCCATCTAGCTAGGCAGTCTGAAAACTTATAAGTTACCATGCTTCTGATATCATAGATGCACCAGGTTAACATCACCATCAAATTGAAAGCAGTGTTAGATACATCAATAACCATGCGATAGGAGTAACAGTTACAGAATCCAACGAGCTGGATATCAACATTGCCAACTGTGACAAATCGTCTCAACCCTAACAGTAAGCACTATGTTGCAGGCTTGTGAACTTGGAATATAAAGGAGCAAGAGAAATTATTTCTCCTTAATTAAAGATGATCAATGGTGTTCATAAGCAGAACATCATATATTTCATTTTTAGCGATACAGAGCCTTATCAATAAGAACGCTACTATGGTAGATGTCAATCGGCAATGCTTATGAATAATGAATAACAAGGCCCGATGATTATCCAGAAAACAAGCTACATTATTACATTCTATTCTTTTTAACTAGAAAACAAGGGTACTATACGATTATTCGTTGCATATTTTATAGATGGATATATGAGCCGGCACAGTCAGAGTAAATATGAGCTTAGTTCACATACACTTGCCTTCGAGCAACAGATTCTATAACACAAATTTACCTCTTCTGGACCCTCTGGATCCAAGAAATCTAGGATAGATTGACTGAGAGGAGGTTGCTTCAAGACGCGTTTACCCTTTGCCATACTATTATCTTCTTCAACAGATGAACGAGAAAACCACCGGGGATCTTGAAGAACCGATTGATCACCATCACTTGTATATTCAATCATTTTACTTCTCTTCTTTCGCCGGGATTTTTCCACTTTCCTATCAGCAACCCAGACCTTCGACAAGAAATCCCTAGACAAGTGATGATCAACATCATTTCCATTCCTAATGTTGCTCCCAAATCGTCGAGTTACAATAATGGCGTTCTGTTCCAACCCATGTAAACCCATTCTTAATAATCCATAAGGCTTCGACTTCCCTACAGCACTTCCGGGAACATCTTTAACCCCACACCCACGTAAGCTCATAATCTTGGATAAACAATGCCAACCCAGCTTGACCCGATTCATCCTGGTACTATTACAGTTACCAATTCCTAAAATGAAGCTTGTTTGATCAAGAATAGAAGAGAGAAAATAGCACTCAATAGGCTTTAAATTCCCGATTTCGAACGTTCTGTCTCTCTCCTCTTCCACTTCATGGAAGCTAATGGAACGTAAAACAGTGTGTACTCTCTCCACTACCTTTCCATCCTCTTCCTTTCCACTGCCTTTCTTTTCTTTGCATAATTATTGGATCAAAATTCTAATACTTCAGATTTAACATCTTATAAAAATAATATTATTAAAAAAATAAATAAATTTAAACTGTTTAAATATGGTCTGAACAGTTTACAATTGTAATAAAAAAAATTAAAAAAATTTGATTTATAATAACAATCTGTAGTTATGAACTGTTCAAATTAGATTTTAACAGTTTAAATTTATTTATCTATTTTTATCATAATATTATTTTTATAAAATGTTATAACATATTAAATCTGGACCATTGGAGTTTTGATCCAATGGTTGTGAAGAGAAAAGGAGAGTAGTGGAGGGGAAGAGGATGGGAAGAGTAGTGGAGAAAATCCAATTCCGTGTTTTGCTCGAGAGAAGGCAAGGGATTTTAACCAAGGGGTAAAGAGGGAAAAGGGGAGAAGTAGTTTTAGCAGAAGGGAGGAAAACTAATTTGGTTTAAGAAGGGAGGTAAACGAAAATATTTCTCCTTATTTTGTTTATATGATTAAGTATTTTTATATGCTTATGAATTTTATGATACCATCTTATTCATTTTAACATGCTTTTTAAAATCTTTCACCTCTCTGAAAATATGATAAAATATAAAATTAAGTTGGACAAAAGTGTTTCAATCAAATGAGAAAAATTACATTACATTTTCTAATTTCAAAATCAATTATTCAAATATTGTTTTCAAATTTGCTTTCTCAAGCATGAGCATGCGGCTTATAAATAGCCTGAAAGAGTTGGTAATACTCTTCAGTGAAAGGATCACCAGCTGCCTTGAAATCCATAGCTTATAAGCCATTATCAAAGCACTCATTCGCCACCTTAGTTGCCTATTGCATATCATTAGTCGGATCAATAAGAGCATACGGCGATTGAGGCATCTTTCTTATTGACATAGCAAAGAAATCGTTGAACCTAAAAATAGACTTCCGTTTTCAAAACAGGGAAAGTAACATAAAGCAAGAGGAACTCAAATGACAAAAATGAACAACGTTGCAAAAGAGATGATGGCACATTATGTCAGAATAAAATATTTTTTAAAGTACTGTAATGTTTAATAACAAGAATTAGATGCAACGATATCAAAATTTGAACTAAACGCAATAAAAAACAAACATGCCAACACTAAAGCAATAAAATTCTACAACCCAAACTCTACTTGACCCAAATAATGAAATATTTGTCATTGCCAAATGCCCGAGAGGGATGAACTGAAGACAAACGTGTAGAATTTCAATTTAAAGCACTCATGATCACAATGATTAAAAAATCAAAAATAGTTTTTTGACCCTTTTTACTGTAAGTATTGATTATTATTTATTAAAAAAATAAATCTTCAACTCTCGAATCGAGGAAAATATCTTTTCATAATAAAACAAATAATGCATAACACATAAGAGCAATTTTTTACTGTATTTTTGTGGCTAATTAATCTAATGTAATTTAATCCTGTAAATTTGAAAGAATTGATAGGCAGATGAGCAATCCCAGAAAAATTTTGACCCACATTAGTAATTTCAATTGGCGTAAGAAAATCAAAATACACTACCTCCGGAGTGTTAATATAACATCTACTTGGCTAATTTTTAAAAAAAACTAAAGAAACTAGCTAAATTAGTTATTTATCAAAAATATATGTTAAGTTTTATAAAATATCTTCTAAAATCATTTGCATTGAAACTACCCATTAGTGCAAATACTCTTAACATGTGCAATCAACGGGATATTTTAAAAAAAGTGATAAATATGAGAGGCAAAATAAATTAATATCTTATATTTAAATCCAAATTTAATCTTCCATCTAGCTCTTATAATAGGTTAGGGATAGGAGATGGTACCATTGATACCTTAGAAATATGGAAGTTCACAAATAAAATATGATGCTATGGCAGACTTCAATTTCTTATCTTTTTAAACCATATCGCATAAAAAAAAATGGAAGTTCACAAATAAAATATTTTGGCATGATATCAGAAGATTAATTATCAAAATGCAAAACATAATACTTGATTTAACAATATATTAGTTAAGCATCGATTCAACTAAACTTCATGCATAAATCAAGTCTAAATCAAAAAACCTGTAAGAAAATGGGCCAGTCCACTCTTGGTGGATTAGACCCAAACCCATTGATATTTGGGGTCCTGGTGTGAATAGCAAAACTTGTGGGTCTCTGACTGCAATTTTTGCCTTTTTATGTAATTTGCAAAAGGGAGGGAATGGTTGGACGAAGGAGGCAATTTTTTTTCAAAAACGTGGAGTTACATAACTAATCCAAAAGGGATCAGTTCGTGCGTGCGTTACTACTTTGCTTTTTGGTTCCTCCAGACTCCTCCCTCCACTCTCTGAACTTTGTCTCCCGGTGCATTTGCTGTGAAAATCCAGATCCAACTCTGTCACCGTGATCAAACCTCCGCGTGGCTATCTGATTTCGTTGTAGATTCTAGGTATGCCCGAAATCCTTCAGTGGTATCAGAGCATGGTTTACATTTCTTGTTGGTGTCATTCTGTGGCCTGCGTATCAGTGTTCTTTTTTTTTCTTTTCTGTTTTTCGGTTCTTAGTATCCTGTGATTTGCTTCAATATAATCTGCAAATCCTTTCATTTATTTTCAATATGAATTATATCTGACTTATATTTATAAGTAGAAATACTGGAATTTTTCTCTGCCTCCATGAAATTCGTTTTACATCAATAAACGTTTTCAGCCGTCTCCCTTGTTGATCTTTGAGTTTGCTTAAAATCAAGTTTTTAGGCTTCAAAACCTATCTCATTGTGTAAAGGACGAAAAAACAAAGAAAACAATATAAAGTACGCGAAAAATAGACACCGGATGGGCAAGATATGGAGGAGAGAATTTTTCAAGTCCGTCGGACCCGACCCGCTTGCAGAAACTAGGTCAGGACGACCCAGCTGGAGGTTGAAGACAACCTCCAAGGCCAAAACAGCGTCGTTTTGGCCCTTTGAAGAAAAAAAAAACGTAAAGAAAAAGGGAAAAAGAAACTAGGCCCAAAGAAAAAAAATAGTTTCAGCCCAAAAAAAAAATTTTGGTTTGGGCCAGTGTGTGCGAGCCCATTTTCAGTTTTTTGTTTATTTCTGTAAAAGTTCCCAAAAAAATGAATTTTAAAAAAAAATTTCCAGAACAGCCACGTGGCGCGTGCTGCCACGTGGCGTGCCAACCGGACACGTAGGGACCACCACCTAACAGATGGGGGCACGTGGAGGGCGCCGGAACAGCGCATGTTGCCGGTGGCAAGCTGCATGGCGGCGAGTGTCATACACGCCCCACCAGCGTGAGTGGTGGTCAGAATTTTTTTTCATTTTTCTTAAATTTTTCCTTCTTGGGGCACGTGTAAGCGTGTGGGAGGTCCGTTTGAGATGCGGTTTGTTTCTAAAAATCCCTAAAATCAAGATCTTCATTTTGATATATAATTTGCTAATTTTTGAGACAATTGAGGATCCGTTTATGAGTATTTTCAGTATATTTTCTGGTATTTTCATGTGGAAATAAATTCCAGAATATTCAAAATAATTTAAATTATTTTGTTCTAGGTGAAAATGAAGCAAGAGGTTTCTAGTAGCATTGAAAATATCAAAGATGGTTCATTAGAATACTCATACATGGATAATACAGTTCCAGAATATGAACCAGAGAATGAGGACCCTGAAGAGGTTCCTCAAGAAGACCCAGAGGAGTTAATGGATTCTGAACCTAAGTCGGAATCTTTATTCCCCACTAAACCCCTTTGTACCGAACCTCATTTGGTCTTTAATGATTCACTAGATCTTCTCAATGAAACGGAAGTTGAGGAAGGAGAAGAGGTGAATCAACCCTGTACCCCTGCTTTAGCTATGAGCATAGCTGAAAGACATGCGGCCAAACTGACAAATATAAAAGGCATCAATAGCGTACTCACCAGTTACGTCCATTACATGACCGATAAGAAGAATACCAAATTCTATCTTAAAGTCATAATGGAGTACATAAGAGCAATAAGGGTTAGAGGCGGACCTAAAGGAAAACCCATAAGAAAATTTTACTGGATTTGGGCTATAGATTTAGTATCATCCTCTATGACCAAAACACGCAAACTTAGAAAACTGAGAAAAGCAATGCTTGATTACCTTTATGTTCATATCAAATTATGTAATATTTGTATTCGCTTTATTGACGTTTCTTATATTAAGTTTGTGGTTTCATGCATTGCAAACAGACTAAGTATGTCATTTCATTTAATGAAATTACTTGAATTATTGTTGTATGATTATTGTGTGAATAATATGTGTATGCCTTTTATAAGTGGAAGCTTTTAGAAGATAAGACTTTTAAGAGTCACAATTTTTGAAGTGCTTATATAAAATCCTTGATAGGACATAATGATTATTGCCTGTATCTGTGTGATGGGAGGTACAAACGTATGCTCTTGATCATGGATCTTGTAGTGTCATTACTTTTTGATCAAGGATGATATAAGTACAAGACATTGTATACTTCGCTGTGCTATATAGCTGAAATATTCTATGGTATGTCTCTTTTTTAGAGAGAACGTAGAATAATGTGAGATAAATTTGTCTCAGAACTAAAAATGGCAACCAAGAACATAATTGTTGAGCTTAATAAGGGAGAAAAGCTCAACGGGGATAACTGGGACTTATGGCACCGAAAGGTTCAATACATCTTGGAGGAACAAGATGCGGTTGAACCTTTAACCACTGCAATGGTCGAACCCGAAGCAAGGAATACGACTCAACATAGGAGAGACCAAAAGGCTTACTTAGTTTGGAAGAAGAAAAATAGCATAGCAAGAATTACGCTTTTGAGTGCTATGGCTGATGACATAATGTGTGAGTTTGAGAGGCACAAAACTGCACAAGCCATGTGGCTAGTGTTGAAGGACAAGTTTGGTGGC